TTAGCTAGTTTTACTACTAGTTAGTAATAAGTTATTTAGCCTATATTAATAAACTACTAGGTCAGCCTTACAGCTAGCCTAAGGTAGGCTAGAGCCTGTCTAACCTTCTTGTTATTCTGCAGCTAATTTAGTAGCTTTATATCTATATAGAGTAGGTATAATAGAATAATATAGTATGCATTTTCTTTCTTAGTTCTATATCTATATAGAGGCAACTCTACACTTAGCATGTGCCTATAGTAGAGGAACTTATTTAGCTCTATCTTGCCTATTTATAGCTAGATTAGTATAGTAGTTTTATACTTATATAGGCTTTTATATAGCTAGGTTGTCTATTTTAGTGTGCTTAGTAGGGGTATATTCTTAGTTGCCTTCTAGCTGCACTATTAGCAGGCTAGCCTAATGTTTTAGTGCTAGTTATCTTATTGCTATTACTATTTCTACTATATTATAGCCTTAGTAGCTCTAGCTAGGCTCTAGGCTTATATCTACTGCTAGTCTTTCTTATTTAGTTTCTACTAGAGCTCCTTCTTTTTCTTTAGAACTCTTACTACTATACTATAGGCAGTCTAGATCTAATTTACTATATTTATCTTCTTTAATTAATCTTTAAACCTATGCTTTAAGTAGTTAAGATAGAGGTCTAGTAAGAGGACTGCTGCCTCTGCCTCTAGGTGTAAAATTAGTATAGCTTTATACGCTTTAGTAATAGCTTAGAGGCACTATAATTGCTCTGCTATAAGTTACTTAGCAACCCCTCTAGGCTTGCCTTAGACCTAGGTAGGCATATAGAATATACCTACGCTATAAGCAATAACGCCCTAGACTACTGCTATATAAAGAGCCTATCTGCTAGAGTATATACTGCTCTAAGCTAAGGCTAAGAGTATAGTAAGAGTAAGCTGCTATATAGCTAATTTCTTCTCTATTTAGGCTTTATAATAGTTCTACTTTAGCTTTCTATTAATCTAGACGCTTAGGAACTTATAGCTCTTCTTTAGTATAATTTTATTAGCGCCTAGCTATATCTAGGTTTAGTGTAGCTCTCTAGCCTAGCTAAAGTATAGTAGCTTGCTTTTTACTAAGTTAAATTTAACCTCTACTTTCCTTGCTTAAGCTGTATATATATTCTAAGCGCTCTTAAGCTGCCTCTAGGTCTACTTTATATTTCTTCTAAACGCTAGAATATTTATATTATTAGTAAAGCTTACTACTATAGTTATATTAGCTGCCTAAAGCTAGGCATATAGTAGTATAGTATATAGAAGAAAGAGAATAAGCAATAGAGGCAAGCTTTATAGCACTCTAGCTAGAATTTAGTATACTCTTAATATTTATCTATTAAAATAAAGCTAGCTTATCCTTAAGTTAATAATAGCTTAAATATAGGCTATAAGCTATTTTAGTACTTCTACCTTAAGCAATATAGCAAGCAGCTTTAAGTAGCTAACTATATTAAATACTCTGCTAATATCTAGCTATAGTAGTAAGGTAATGCTATACTAGCTCTAGGCTGTCTTTACTGCTTTAGTAACTACTCTTAGTGCAACCTTTATTAACCTATTAGCTTTATTGCCTATCTATATATCTAGTAGCATGCCTTCTGCCTTAGTAATAGCTATAATTTAAGCTGCTATTACAGCCTTTAATACCTTGCCTATAACATTAAGTAGTAATATAGAGTACTACCCCCTAGCCTGCCTTAGGTCTATAGGCATTTTCTTAGGCTTATAGAGAATAATTACTTTAGCAGTCTAGAACTAAGCTAGAAAATAAGTATATTTAGCTACTCTAGTTAGTAGGTAGGTAAGAATATTTATAAGAGAGGCCTTATAGGCTTTTAGAAGGCTAGCTAGTATTCTATTATCTCTAGGAGCTTTCTAGCTTGCTATCTTTATAAGAGCTTTATATATATTAGTATTTATAAACTATTAGTCTACTAGTATAAGCATACTATTAAGCTAGCAAAAGGCTAGGTCTACTATATTACTAATATTAGCAGTTAGCTTTAGAAAGAATTTTATAGTAAGAATGTCTGCCTTCTCCTCTAAGCGTACAGCTAGGTTAGCTGTATTAAGTTCTTTATTATAAAGTAGAGCTAGAAGCTGCATAAGTTTAGGTAGAATATAGCTATATAAGTAGGCTTATCTTTCTAGCTGCTATATCTTATTATTTCTTATATTTATATAGTAGAGATTTTATGCTAAGTACTTCTATATTTCTTAGCAGTAATCTAGCTTTATGCTAAGTTAGCCTCTAAGTAGTATTTCTAGTTAGCTATTATTTGTCTATAGCGCTATATTTATTTTACTCTTCTTGCGTTTAATACTGCCTCTATTATACGCTAGCTCTACTACTATTCCTAGTAAGAAGGCCTTAGCGCTCTCTTTAGTGCAGCATTATCTACTATCTCCTAGAGTTATTATACTATCTAGTCTATATATTTATTAACATTAGCCTAAGTATAAAGTAGCTATATTACTGCCTTACTTTAAAACTATACTTTAGCCTCTACTTTAGCTAATTTCTTATTAAGCTTCTTTTAAAATACCTTATAAGCGCTAGAGGCTTATTATCTGCCTCTATATTAACCTAAATTAGCTGCAGAATATAGTTAGATCTAGCTAGATTTATAGCTCCTTAGTATATAACTCTAAGGCTCTATAAGGCTTAAGCTAGGTTAATAGTGCTATCTCTATCTTTATATTTTTACTTTATAAGTTCTTCTTTTAGTATTACTAAGCTAAGCTGCTACTAAGCTGCTATTGCTAATAGTTCTTTATAGCTCTAGCTAGTCCTCTCTAGCCTATTCTAAAGCAGGTGCTTAAGGTTAAAGTCCCTAACTAATATATACTTATTCTAGGCCTCTCTAGCCT